AAAAATTTTAGCTTATTATCTTCAAAAGTAGTAAAGAAATAATTTTTGCCTTAAAAGTGGCATTTCTGGACCACTGTGCAATCGGTTGTTCATACGTTTCCTTTAAAGTTAGTAGTGAAATCTATTCAAGATACATAAATAAGAAAACAATAGTGCTAATATTCATCAATATATTATCAGTAAACAACCAATTTTTTCTTGGGTTTAAATTTAACAGCCTTGAGCGCCCCAAGCTACCAAAAATGAGAGATGATATAACACTAAGATCGGTTTTTAATGTTTTAAGCAATCAAAACGTGATAAAACTACATCGTCTTGACCGGAGTATTTAGTTGTGTCGTAAACATATAGAGACAGATGTTAGATTGCAATGAAAATTATCAATACAGATGAAAAATAACACAGTACCAATAAGAGAATCTTAGAGATTACAGTAAATAAAGGAGATTACCACTTCAATTTCAACTTTAACTCGCAAAATACAACTTTAATACTGCAACTATAAATAAATGACTCAATAGTTTAAAAAATTTTATAAGGTACACCGTATAATTGGAGAAGAACAGTATGCTAGACTTTATCAAATTGTTTTGACATGTCAAGTGGAATAGCTCCTGCCTCGCCAATTTAATCTGGTGCACAATATAATTTTTTTGAAAAAATAAATGACATAAAAATGAAGATTTTTTAACGGCCTTCAGAATCTATTTTTTAAGATAAAATACAAAAATTACTCTGGTTAAAAATTTCAAAGAAATAATTACAATTGCAAACAACAGATGAACGAATTAGAAAAGAGTTAAGTAATGCTCAACTTAAAACCAAAAACAAAAGAAACATTGCAAAACAATCATGAAAAGAATCCTAGTTTTATCTTCTGTACATCCCTAGTTATTTACAGTTATTGCTGGAAGGATCCAACCACTCATAAATGTTATAGATAATAACTTACAAATTCAAAGCATATGTGCTGGCAAAATACACTTAACAATCTTTGCGAGTCAAAATAAATGGTATAGGGTTTTTCAAGTTCACAAATTTTAAGTTTACAAGTTCTTACTCAACTCCCGCCTAGTATGAAGGAAAGTACCCACACAGTATGAAGACGTTTTGGCAAGGACTTTAATCTTTGATCGTACTGTGCAACAATCAAGCCATTTTTTTCTCGAAAAAATATTAGCAATTGCCTAATATTTTGCAAATAACACAAGGATTGGACTGTTAAAATAGGGCAGTATGTAATGTTCTCAGACAAAGCCCAAGTTAAGCATTTTGCAACACACAAAGTAAATGTTCTTCAACCACCAAAATCACGCCTTTTAATACGTTCTATTCCGTTAACCGATGTCTAACAATTAGATTTTAAGGTGCAATCACTGCCAACAGTTGTGCTGGTTGACGCTTTTCACAACAAGGTGAGACGTTACCTCAAATTATTTTTGAAATCTTAAATAACAGTGTAACGGGTGATGCATAAGTTTTAATTAACTAACGTGTTATGTAAACTAACAGTTAATTAACTAACGGGTAATGTAAACTAACAGTTTTCAGATAAATTTTAATTAATTTGCATAAAAAATACTTAAAATTTTTATTTTATTAATTAAAACATATTATTCAAAACTGAGATTAAATGTTGAAATGAACGATAATTTTTTCCAAAACATTTTAAATTTTTTATCATAAAAAACCATAATATATATAAAAAAGTGAAGTTTGTCAAGAACCAAAATGGGGTCAGCCAGAGAAAATTGGGTCCTCAATTTGGAGTAAATCCATCAACAATTTGTTGTTAAAAAAGTAAACATTCAATACAGAAAACGTGAAAAGGTTTGTAAATACAGTATTGAACAACAAATAAAAGCAAAAAGAGGATGCTGAAAACATGATAAATAATTCTATAAAACAAAATCACTTCTGGTCATCGATGATGAAAAGTACTTTTGTTTTGCCGTTGATAGCCTGGAAATTCTGCTAACTACACAGACATTAAAAAAACATGCCCACTGATAGATAGCATAAACTGTCTAGAAAATGTACGCTTTATGAGAAAAAGGAAGGTTGGCAAGCTTCAACAGAGAATGTCTTGATCAATTGCATCATATTAAAAGTAAATGAAATTGATTAGAATTTTTTACAGTTGCTAAACAAGATTGAGATCTATTGCAGATGAAGATGTTTTTCATATATAAAACACCCAATTTTTATTCAAAAGTAAATACTTTGTTATAGAAAAACGGCCTAATAGGTTTTATTTTTATTTGCTAATAAAAATATATAAGATTTATTAGAACAAGAACACATGTTCTAAAAAAACGCAAGCTCAAATAGTAGGACATTAACAGGGTGTCACTAAATAAGAAATAGAATGTACCTGTGGCGTTGGAAGGTCACGAAAGTTGGGGAAGGGAGTGGTTGAAAACATTTATTAAAAAGGAAAAAGTTCCTCAATTTTGTATGATACAGCAAAATTGATGAAAATGATCTATTTATTCAATTATTTATCACACGCAACGTGATCTTTTTAACGTGATTAGTTAACTTTTGCAAGCACACATTCATTTAAAAAATAGTTAGCATGCGATAGTATCTTAAACAGTTTTATGGATATACTTTTTCATGGTGATGTTTAATTGTGATTGAGTCATTGAGTTCAATTCCACTGTTGCTATCATAACAGCTTTTTTAAAACTGTTCAGGAAATGCTTCTGTTGTCAGACTATTCCGAAGATTGCTTGCTTGCTTATCTTCTAAGAATGACTACGAGTATAACTGTTATTGTTAACTTTAAAAAACAGTTTTTTTTATCTGTACTAACTAAAAAACGAGTAATTTTAAAGCACAAAACTACATCATGTTTTATAAGCCTCCGCTCCAGAGAATCTAAGTCAAGCACCTGTAAGTGGCTATAACGAATTTTAAAACATTTTAAGATTAAGTGTGCTCTAGTATTTGCTACATGAATGAGTCTACCTGTGTGTTTTTTGTAGTTTAATTGGGAGTCCATACCTAACTCAAATCCTTTAGGTTAGATAACTGGTCTAAAAATTTTTCATCTAACTAGTAGTTAAAATTATTACTATGCTGCAGTTGGAGCAGGTGCTAGAACGCTGACTGATGACAATCGGCGATTGCCAAGGACCAATGAACTTTTTGTTTAAGAGCAACATTTAAACCTTGTCTATGGTTTGTATTATGAAATGAGCTGTATAAATTTATACTGCTTTCATATTTTGTCAAATAAATATATAAATACATATATATTTCAATATATATATATTTCAATACATATATATATATATATATATATATATATATATATATATATATATATATATATATATATATATATATATATATATATATATATATATATATATATATAAAGTTCCTAATATCTTTAATAAGATATTAAAGTTTTTTTTCTGATAACTTAAGCATGACCCGTTAATTAGTTTCTTATTTAAAAATTGATATTTTCATGCACGATGGAACAACTTACTATCGAGTAAAATTTTCAAGGCCTTACTCCAAGGAATGCAAATAATCTTCTTGTTCCGTGGCCGGGCGATAATATTCATAATATTGTTTTTTGAACTAAAACATTTTAGAGCACTAAATCCTAACGCCATACCATACTAAAGCAATTTTTGCTATAAATATTGGGTAGTTTGATTTTTTTGTCATAATATATATGAAATTTTAAAAAAGAGAACAGATTAAATAAAAAGGCAAAGGAACCGATTTAAAAATAAAATATAATAAGTTCTCAAAGTTTAAATTACACATAAACAAATAAAAAAAAGGGAAAGTTATCATTATTTTAGATTTGTTTTATTTTTAACAAAATTTTATCACTAAAAATATGAAAGTAAAAGTATAGATCAATTTAGTTTATAATTTAGTATTTATAAAGTAAATTGATACGAAATTGAAACTAAAGCATAATTTATAATTTTAAATTAAATAATATTTTTATAAATGAACTGTTTTATACCACCCAAATTTTATCTCCTCTACTGTTTTATACCACTTAAATTTTGTCTCCTCTACTGGATTTTAGAAAAACTTATAATAAGAATATTTGAATGCGTTTCCAGTAACATAGATAGATGATTATAAAGTTAATCTCACAGAGATAGCTAGAAAAGCATAGTCGGATAGAAAATCATGACCCAAATACTCAGGTATCCAGATTTTTGTTTTGCGATCTAGATCCTTTTGGTATCTTGAGCTGATCTATTTTGCTCGGGTAATCAGTTTCAAACATTTTTTATATAAAATTAATTTTTATGTTTATGAATCTGCGTACTATTATGATAGCACCATAGTTTGCTTAACTGTTACACTTTGCAAAGTTATATCATTTAAAATAGTGTAAAAAAACATGTTGCTACTCATTATTTAAAAGCAATATAAACTCACTCAAAAAAGGATTTTCCGCTTTTGATTCAGCAAACGCACTCCTAATTTAGAGATTCCATAGTTTGAAAACATTGGTTGAACTTAACTGATGTTTAAAAGCTATACAATCAATGGTTTGAAAGCTATACAATCAACATCAGTTTATAGTATAAATTATTTTAGGCTAAATTATTTGGTTTCTAATCCAAATAATTTAGCCTACAAAGCCTTTTTAGCAAGAACTTGTTATTAAACTTGTTATTAAAGTTAACTAACTTCAAATAGAATAATTGCTTACAAAACTCCTTTGAACAGCATGTAGCACCGTATTGTTATCGTAAATACTGTCATTATTATGCATTATTTAAAAAGTTATATTGTATATAGTTGGCCTATTAACAAAGTCATAAAATTTCAATTTATGTTGTTTCAAATGCATTTTTTGCTTGTATTTAAAAACTTAATAAAAAGGAACAGCATAAACGCTAACCAGTGGCTTCGGCTATTAAGTTTATAAAAATAATTTTGTTAATAGCATTTTCAAATAATTTACATTATCAAATAATTGTACTGGTCACTTTAATAAAAAATCACGGTTTAAAATTAATTATTTACAAACATTGTAGGAAAAATATTTTACAACAAAAAACTTTATTTTAATTTCTTATAATTTCTATTTGCTGTTAATAGCTAATGTTAATTGACTGAAATTCCATAATTGCTTGTTAGCTAAATTTTAACTCTTCGTGGTCTTGAAAAAAGTTGGGTAGTTTACTACTGATTATGAATATCTAAAGCCTGTAGGCTATCATGTATAGGGTAGGGATGCGATGGTGGTGGTATATAAGGTAATGACAACGAATGACTGTGGTAAGCATGTAGGTTTGGTGAAGGGTTTAATATAGAGGGATGTCCATGGCCAATGTACGATTGTGGTGTAACTGCCGGTGAGTTTCTATATCCTGAGTAGGATTGATGCGGTCTAATCTGATTGCAACTAGAAATAGGTAAAGCGTTCATTGCATGTTGTTCAGATCCGTACGCTCTTGGAGGATAATGATGAGAAGAAGGTGGTAGGCTAACATCAACATGATAAGGTGAATACATTGACCCGTAATGGTCCCCTATGTAGGGAGGAGTATAGTGTCCACTAATAGGTGGGTATATATACGGTCCTGGAGATACACTCTCAGATCCAGAGTTTTTACGTCTTCTTGATTTATAAACAGTTACAACAGGTGATTTTCCAGCACGATTTGATGCGTCTATCATAGGTTGTACAATTCTACGTCTTGCATTTATAAACCTACATTAAAACATACTTTATTTATTACTTTATTTATTTAAGCACTGTGTATAATAAAACATGTTTTACTTATTACTAAAGTTTATAAAATGTTATCAAATATATATTATTGAGACTTTAAGTAAATTACATACATAAATTACACTATATTTAATTTTGGCAAATATTTGTGTCTGTTATTAGAGTTTTACTACCTGCCTAGATTAGCAAAAAAAAGTAAAACATTTGTGTTTATAAAAAGGATTCAATTATCAACCTATGTTAGCCGAAATAATATATTCAAACTGATATTATTATGATCGATATTTTTTACTTTTTCTTTAACAAAGTAAACCAAGCTAATCTGACCATTATTATTATTATAGCTAAGTCTCGAAACAATCATGAATAAGATGGTTTATATGCAGTTGTTACGGAAACCATAACATAATATAATAAAATAACGATAATATAACAAAAAACTTTTTTTTGCATAAACAATAGTTAAAGTTTTTCACATACCAGTTGTTTACTTGAACGATTGTTAAACCAGTTTCGTTGGCAAGTTGACGTTTTTGTTCTTCTGAAGGATATGGGTGCTAAAAAAAAGTTGGCTTTCACAAACTATTTTCTTTTATTGTAAAAAATATGACTTGTGCTTTAGATTAAAACCGCTACCTGTCAAACCTGCCTCAATTTTTGGTTATTAATGTGTACAAAAAACTTAAAGGCCTTCATTGTTAGGTCTTCCCAGTTAGGCCTACAGAGCATTGCGGAAGAGCATTTAACTCAGCCATCTTTACTAGTTTTCCAAAAATTTCCAGAGAAAACATAAAGCCTTGGACTGTTTGATTCTAAGCTCATTGCTCTAACCATTATGCCACTACGCCACGACCACTACGCCACGTCTGCTAAACTCAAATTGACATAAGTGCGCTAAACAGTTTTATAAACTTAAGTATATGTTAACTTCTTGCAAATATTTGCCTTAGCACAAATTCATATATACACGAGCTAAAAATTGTGGTTTTAACAAGTTATTAAAAATAGTTAGGAAAGTAAAAATATAGAATAATAAGTTATTTTAAAAGACGTCTTTTTAACGTTCATAAGATGTCTTTTTAGGATCAAATGGCGGCTGGGAAGGTATTTAGCCAACTTTTGTCAAATGTAAAATAAACTTGTTTAGCTCAAAGCTAGTTAGTGATCATGCAGATTTGCGCATAAATATATTTTTGCAACTAATTTTTGTATATACGATTTTTTGTATATACGACGTTAAAAAAATTAGCATTTTAGATTTTTATCTTACCGTTAAATGCTGAAACAACCAGCCTTTCATAATATTTGTTGCCATTTTAGGAAATATTCCTCTCTTTTTCTGTTTTTTTTTGTCTTTTTCATCTTCTTCGTCACGATAAATTGAGTCTTCAGAATCGGGCATGTTTTCGGACGATGCGGCACTATGCCCTTCTATAAATAAATAAATATATATATATGTGTGTGTGTGTGTGTGTGTGTGTGTGTGTGTATGTGTGTGTGTGTGTGTGTGTGTGTGTGTGTATATGTGTGTGTGTGTGTGTATATGTGTGTGTGTGTATGTGTGTGTGTGTGTGTGTGTGTGTGTGTGTGTGTATATGTGTGTGTGTGTGTGTGTGTGTGTGTATATGTGTGTGTGTGTGTGTGTGTGTGTGTGTGTGTGTGTGTGTGTGTGTGTGTGTGTGTGTGTGTATTACCGACTCAAAAACTATTATCATTACTCTTCCTCAAAAAACGAATAATATGTAAAATAATTATATTCTATAACTTGAGAATAATTATATACTCACACAAAAATAATTTTTAGCTGCATTTCAAAATGACTTTTTAAATTATAAATGCGCGATATTTTTTTGTTCCGTTTTTTATATTTCATATGAATACACTCTTAATTGGTTGGTAATTAACAATAAAATGAGTGATTAATTAACTTAAATTAAAAAAGTAGAACGGAATTTAAACTTAATTCAAGTTTTTAATATATATATATATATATATATATATATATATATATATATATATATATATATATATATATATATATATATATATATATATATATATATATATATATATATATATATATGAAATGTAATGTGAAAATAAATTGCAGAGTAATAGGTAAAATATGTTCTTTAGGCATGTTGATTTAAGACAGAGATCAAACATTCCTTCTAAAAATACTTTAAAACATTCAAATACGTCAAAAAATCAAATTTTTTTAAAAAACTGCCAAACCTTCAGCAGTTGGCGTGCACTTTGAGCTCATGTATAGTTTTGACACACGTCAGTAGAATTTCAGTTGCAATCTTTTAAACCCCAAGAAATTTTTAAGTTAGGCTTTGCAATCCCAATTTAAAACTCGTTTGAGGTATTAACTTTACAAGTTGATTTGAAATAATATTATTGCAAAAAAGAAAGTGTTTCACTTGGGGGAACTTTCGATTTTCTCATGCGCCACGAAAAAGTGTGTTTGGTTTCCAATCTATCGCAATCGGTATAAAATTTACAAGTATTTACTTTTTACACGAATATATTTCTTGCGTTTCTTGCAGCATAAAATTATAGAAAATGTTTTTTTTTTTTTTTTTTTTTTTTTTTTGTTCTTTGCTTTATTAGCTTTTTATTTATGTATCTTTGAGTTTTGCATTCATGCAATATTTGAATAAGCTTTCATGTGCAATTAAAATGAAGGCTAATTGAAAAAAACTCAACGTATTAGGTCATTTTTGATTGGTTGCTTTTTTTTTTTTTTGTATTAAATATCAGCTATTTCTTTAGAACAACCCTAATTACAAAATACTGTTAAATAATTCAACTAAAAATATTAAATTATATAACAGTTGTGCAAGTGTCAACTAATGATTTTAATGCACACTTTTCTACCCAACTTCTTGTTTGCAGAGCTTACAGTATTGTTTCGGCTTCTTGTTTCATGTTTATTTGTTTGGCTTAAGTCTTAGTTTAATTCGTTTTATTGATGTGTTTGTTTTGTGTTTCCTTTGTATTTAAATATATATTTGAAATTAAAATAAAAACTGTAATCATAGAGCAAATCAATAGAAATGAGACGATATTAAACAATAAAAAGAAATAAGTGATAAGAGACAATCCTTATTATTTTGAAAACAATTTTTTTTTCTGTGAAGAGAATTTAAAAAAAAAAGAAATTTTTTTAAACGGTACTTATGCTTAGCTTATATAATGAAATATTAAAAATGATATTTAAAATACAGTTAAAAATTGGAATGTATTGTCTTTCTTTTCTACAAAAAGATATATAGTTACACATTTACATTTTCGCAACTTTTTTACATTTGTAGTTAGACTATATTTTATTCGAGCAATTTTGACATAAATTTTATTTAAAAAAAAAGTTTATTAACCCTGTTTCAGAAGTTTAGTTAGTTTATGAGGCAAATAAAAAATAAATATACAATAAAGAAACACAAATCATTAAATTTAAGCTAAATCCTAATACTTACAGAAATTTATGTCAACGAAAACAAACAACATGCGATGCAATTAATTTGTGACTTTTTTTTGTATTTCATATTGTTAACTCTCGTTTTAACAATTTCTATTAAGGTAACGTCACGGGTTTAAAATAACCAACCCTAAGGTAACGTCACACCTTTAAAAACTAACCCTCCAAAAAAAAAACTTTGTTTTTAGAATTGTAAAACCATTGCCTCCAGCTAAGAGTACCGAATTTAAAAAAATTTTATAGTTAATTTTCTGGAACCATAACTGGATTTCGATATATTCAAAAATTAATTTAAAAATAAAAACAACAATAAAGATACAGCTTGCATTATTGCATGCATTATTGTTGAAAGGTTAGCTCTATAATAATCTTTTAATACTTTTTTATATAAAATGTTTGTAACACTGCAAGTTACCAGAATACAAAATGAGTATATTAAAATTGTAACAGGTAAACGCATTAAAAAAAAATTCTTATGGCTTGTAGCATATAGACATGATATAAACGATTAAAAAACAAAATAAATTACAGAATGCTTATTTATAAATAAAAGTTTCAAATCATAAAGATTTTGAATAAAATAATAAGTTGATTTATACATTCTTAATAGCGCGCACACAGTTTCTACACTCTTTACCGCGGACTTACAATTTATAAACTTTTTACATACGCGCACATACGGTTCATAAACTCTTAATTTACATATTGCGCACATACAAGTAATGCACTCTTTATCATGCCTTAAATGATACTTTATTTTTATGATACCTCACAAATGCAATCAAAGTTCCACTCATAGTGAATAACAGTTGAAAAAAAGTTATAAACAGAATTAATACACAACTTTACCTGCTTCAGTTGCTTGTGACTCCAATGGTACTGAGCTTTCAAGTTGTCTGTTATCTTGATATCCTGTTGATGTCGCAGGTAAAGTTAAAACTTTTGGCTTTGTAGAGCTGTTGCGATGGCAACCTGGATTATCTATAGGAGACCAAGCTTGAGGTTGAATCTAAAGTGAATAATTCACAAAGTCTTTTTTCCCAGCAAAATCTAAAATTGTTTTAAATTCAAATTTTTTTTTATTCTAAATTGGTTATAAGTAAAAAAAAAATATATTTATATTTTAGCTATTGGTCTTCCCTTGTTTTGCAAAGATTTAATTTTTTAATTTATAGTTTTTTACTTTATAGTTTTAAGAATATGCATTAGAGTATAAAGTACATTATCATATATTTAATGGTTGTTTATTTACTGTTCATTTACTCATATGGTTTTTAATTAAAGTGGGTTTTAAAAATTTTTCTTTTTTTTTAAATATATTTTTTCTTTGTAACGAAAACGTCACTTTTACTGCTTTTTTTTAAAAAAATTATTATTTCTATACTTATCGGATTATCGACGACTTAGATGTTTTATTACCCGTAGACATGTAACTTACTTTGTTTGATTTTTTTACTGTTGTCAGGTAAGACATTATTTGTTTTGATTTTTTGTCATCCATCGTGGTTCTGCTTGTTAAGACCAAGCTGTCCGGAGAGTATTTTATAAATTTTACCAAGAATGTTTTTTTAAAAACATTTACTTTTTTACGATTAACATATTGCATCTGATTTTACCATTAAAATTGCTTTGTTGCGTCATGATTACAACGAAAGGAGTTTAATTGATAACGGGGCTTTGTCTTATAAAAGACGTTAAAAAGATCATATAGTGAATTACCGTAGTGCTAAATTTAAATATTTATTGATGCTTTAATTGTTGAAACACATGATTTATGGCAAAATATTTAAAATAAAATTGAGCACTTTTACATTAAATTTAAAAGGACTGCATTGATGCGCTGCAAATGCTGGGTATTTGGGTTTTTTTTGTTTTTTTTTTGAACGTTTTTGTTAACGTTTTTTAACGTTTTTATGCTTTCATATTTTCAGAATTTTATTTATGAATACTGTCAGATCCTGTTGCAAGAAATGGGAGGTGGGGAAACAAACCAGTTGTAAATTTGTAATTAAATGTTAAAACGTTGCTAAATTAGTGGAGTTTTAAAATTAATTTTTTAAATGGAAATTAATTTTCTATTTACTAATCATTCTTGTAAGAAAATAAATCAAAGTAAAGATGGTACCTTGTGCTGGTAATCTGTTTGTGGAACAGATCGGTCAACTTTAACACCATCTAGATAAATATCTTTTTTACTGTTATCTTCTAAAACGAAATCCAATGGCATTTTTCCTTTTAAGCATTCTATGTACCGTTTGCAAAAATTGTTGCATAGCTCGTGAACCTATATAATTATTTCTTTATTAATGAATATTTCTTTACATAATACCTGCTACTTGCACATAAAGAAGTAAAAATTTAGAAAAATCAAAACTTTTTTTTGTTTTTATAAATTAGTTTCTTATAAATTTTATTTGTGACAACCACAAGCATGTTAATATGCAACTTAGGTAAATAAATGGTTTCTAACAATCATGGGTGAATTCAAATGTATTAAAAGTAAAAAAAAATAAAATCTTTATTTAAGAGTCTCTATTTAAGAGTTAAAGATCTCTATTTAAGATAAACAACAAACCTTTTCTATTTCCAACAAATGAAATCGGAGTACTTGTATTGCTTGAACTAGCTAATAACAAATAAAAAAAGAATATAAATAAAAGACATTTTCAAATAAAAATCACTTTCTAAAATAATGTTTTAAAAATTGCAATAAATAAATTATTGCAGCCTTACTCGCATAGTCGCCAAATTTTTACTTTTGGCTCTGAAAGCTTGTGGAGTTTGAAGATAAAATAGTTCCTCGACTCAAGTATATATATAAATTTTTAAATAAAAGAGTAGATATTACTTATTATAAAACTTACTAAGTTATCCATTTCCATGTTGGTTGTAAAAAACGGCTTGTTGTTTTCAAGCTAAAATAGTAAAAAAATTTTAAGTAAGTTTAAAAAAATCTTTAAGTGTCGAGGCAAATATTTGAATTTACCTTAGTTGCAAATTGGTGTATATCTTCGTTAAACGATTCTGATGTGTACTGCTCACCACTTGTGTCCAGTTTCTCAGATCTTCCGCTGAGGTTTGTTGCTAAATCACACTTTTCAAAAACGCGGACCAATAAAGGGAACAAAGGATGACTGAAATGCGAGAATAAAGTATTTAAATTAGTAGTTGTTCGGTATTTTATTTAAAAATAACTAATATGACTTTGAGAAGTTTGCTATCAGCTGCACGCAACATTCATTTTTACGTTCTAACAAATGCCTGTAATAAAAAGAAGTGTCGCGCCTATTGTAGAAGCAGTGAAGTTGAAAGTCAAAATCACGCAAAACTTTTAGTTCGCACCACACATGATCGCTCTAATTGAAATGTTTGACACCCAACAGAGACATCGTAAGCGCCGAAGCGAGCTGAATTGAAAATCTAAATATGTTTCAACCATTCGATATAATTAAAACAATGCATTATTTCAGGTTAAAGTTGTTTAACTTCATTTTTTCAATGCTTTATGTATTTATTTATTTTTATAAATTTAAGTAAGTTTATTTAGTTTTATTAGTTAATAAAATTTAATAAATTAGTAAGAAATAATGTTCATAATACGCATATACGGACCTGACTCCATTAATATCATTTATTTTATTTCTTGTTAAATTATATTTTACAAATATATAATTATATATATATATATATATATATATATATATATATATATATATATATATATATATATATATATATATATATATATATATATATATATATATATATATATATATATATATATATATATATATATAATTGGATTTTCATTTAAACTCGTTCCTCAAACGTTAAAACACGATAAAAAAAACGAACTTACTCATAAATAAGCTTTTTATCTGTAGAAAAGTTGCTTTCTTCTTTTTCATAAAGTTGCGCGTGCTGCGAAAACACCTGGGTAAATCGTCTTCCTGGAGGAGTAATTTCTGGAATTCGACTATCACACTGGAACGCTAAGCCATGGTGTTGTTGATATTCCTGGATCGACTATAAATAAGCAATATCAGTTTAAATATAAATAAAGTAGAAAAATGTCAGTACAAATAAAGCGAGTGCACACGCGTGCATTTACACTATTAGTTTATAAATGAAAAATACGAGTTTTCTTTTACTAAACAGTTTGCAAAAGTACTTTAAAAAGTTTAAAATTTTTTAAACAAGCATGTTTTTAATGTTATAATTTTCTGTACCGAAATTTACTTATTGTATGTTTAATACGCACAAGTTGCTTTCAGCATCGGTTTAAATGAGTTCATGCCTGAACGGAGAAAATGTATACAATTATTTAAGGTTATTATAATCCTTCACATAGGTGGTTTGTATCTTGAGTTTTTTGGTTAACTTGCATTTTAGTTTTATAGTTTATTTGCAACTTAAGTTTTGTGTGACATGTGTCTTGATTGACTTTCCTGGGCTTTATTTTTACGGCTGAATAATCTAATTTTTAATATCGATTGAAATTATTTGAGATTAGTTGACTATATTAGAAACGAGAGATTCGAGTAACAATTTAAGCCAAGTTTTTTTTAATTTACAGTAAACATTAACTTTAGTTCAAGTTTAAAACTAATATAACATTAATTGAGTCATTAACAATTTGATTATTTAAGTCATTAACAAATTTGATTAATTGAGTCATTAACAATTTGATTAGCCAACAGCACGATTATAGGCTTAACAGACCAGGACGGACTATCATTACGAACTAATAAAACAGGTTTCATGACATAATTACATTATGAACCAACAGGACAGGAATCTATAAAATGATTTTCATCTTTTAATTGTTAAATATCTAAAATTAATAATTAAAATTGGATTGCAATCCAGTTACATAACTACATAAAATTAAAATACTAAGTGAACGTAACAAATGAAGAATTTTTCAATAACGATCTGTTTATTGCCGTAATTTTTTTAGACAATTATTTTTTCCGACGTCTCATTTTAAACTTCATCATTTGATCTGTTATTTAAGTTTCATTCTCAACATTTGAACTTTGAAAAAAAAAACCTTCAAGTGCGTGATGTTTTTTTAAACTTTTGCAATGATCGTTGAACAAGTCTTAAATGAACACGCGCTAACCCAGCCGGCCAAAACAATCGTCTCTTCGAAATGTCAAAATTTCGAAATGAAGAAACTCAGAATGTGTAAAAGATATTTATACAGATTGAAAGTTTTGCTGCAACAAAATTTCAAGATAAATAAAAATGGTAGCAAAACAATTTTTTAGTATTAAAATGCTTTTTTTATTATCTTTTTTTAGTTTATTTTTATCCCACTTTTTTATTTTGTTTTTGTTATTTTGTTTAAAAATTATTGTTATATAAAACGTGATTTTTTTTTCTATATTTAACGATATTCTTAAATCAATCTAACAGTTATTGTCGAATTTCATATAGTTGGCGTTAAACATTTGAACGCAAATGTTTTTTAAAGAAGCATCGTTTCTAAGCATCGTGTAGCCAATCGGATTATTCATCCAGACAAGCGCAAAATACTAAAAACATTATTCTCTGTGTGTTCTCAAATGACTGCAAACAACGTCCAATGCAACCGCAGCAAATGTAAACATTTGATTTTATGATTTCTTTTTGTATAAAATTTATTTAAGTTTTCTATAAAATTTCTTATCTAAAAAAAAAACTCTTTTTGACAAACAGAATTATTAAAAACACAATACGCAAATACAATGTACATAAGACAAGTTGTCGAAAACGAAGTTTTGACATAAAAATGACAAATTAATAATTGTCATATTGACGACAAGCGATAAGACCATATCAGCGATATCAGATAGCAACATCCAATAAATTGAAAAAATTATAATTAAAAAAAAAAAAAAAAGACTATAATTAATTGAAAATTATCTCTCCACAGGTATACGACTGCTGTGTTAATGTAGAAAGAAAAAAATATATATTTAATGTACCTTAAAAAACGTTGATTGGCGATCATCCATCACGAATCCATCATTGTCACAACTGTCAATCCTTATGTCAAAAATACCAAAACAAATTATTACGATAAACAAACAGTTTCAGAAAACTATTTGTTCATTCTTACCACTTATCTATGTCAACATCAAATTTTAATTGCCACGGATCACCAAGATAAGATTGTTATTAGCGTAATCCAATTCGTAGCCACTCAACGTTTTTCCTTGCACGCTAAATAAAGTTAAAGTTGGAGTTTAAAAAAAAATTAATAATAATAAATATCAGTTGTTATAAATATAAGATATTTTTTTGTATATTCAATGACAAAAACGTTTTTTTTTTTTTTAATTTAAAAATAGTCAGCGATCAAAGTATTTATAAATAAAGGAAGGAGGTTTTTAGGACGTATAATAGACTTTTCTTAACCAATATTTGCTTCATTGTTCAATATTTAGAACAGTTTGTTAAATTTAATAATAATTTTAAAAAGTTCACAGGTGAAATCACCGAAACATAATCGATCAAGAATGTTTACACGGTACGTTTTTTTTTTTTTTTTCAAACAGTATTATTAGTTATATTCCTATAGCTTTTATTAAAACTGTTATAATATATACTAAGATGGACGCAGAAATTTTCGGTGAACTTTTACATATGACCCTTTTGAGCATTGCGAAAACTACAAACTTATGTAGGCTTGTGCTTATGTTTCGAAAAAACATTTAAAATGAATTACGATGATTGGGAGTCTGGGAACAAAAGCAATCAAAGCTTGAAGCCTCAACTCAAAATGTAGGGGTAGTATATTCAACAAATATTTTACTTTACTTTTTTATACCAAACTTAAATTTATTAACAGGTTTTAATTTTCATCTATTATTCTTTTAGTGTTCAAAAAATATGACTAAAACTTAGATCCCCCTCATTTTGAAAAGGGTAAATAAATTAATGCTTTTTTAAAAAATCCTGCGTACGACTGCGTACGATATATATATATATATACTATATATATATATATATATATATATATATATATATATATATATATATATATATATATATATATATATATATATATATACTATTATATATATATATATAGTATATATATATATATATATATATATATATATATATATATATATATATATATATATATATATATATATATATATATATATATATATATATATATATATATATATATATATATATAATCTCAAAATCTACTTAGATAAGAGAATTTTCACTCTCAAAAAAATAAAAATTTCACCAAACAAAATCTCATTACCAAGTCTATCTTGGTGATGGGACTTTATCTTCTGCTAATTTAACAAAGTTTGCGATAATAAAAAATGTATATGTTAAAGTAAACATCTATAAATTTCTTTTTTGTAAACTGTAATGTTGCTGCTCAATAAAGTATACTTTTTTTACTTCCAACATTGCTGCAAGTAACCATTGTTAGACTTGGAAACTACTGGAAGAGAAAAGATTCAAAGTTTGTAAAACAATTAACAGATAAATTTTTGAACTTTATAAAGCGATGATTAAAGATGGAGTTTTGAAGTTTATAAAGCGAGATTTAAAATTTATAAAACGATTAACAGACTACTTAAAATATTGAAAATGTACGAATCAGGAAAACAAGATGAAGGGAGCGAACTCCAAAGAACTGATGTTTGATGAGGAAAGTAAATAAACGAATTAAAATTTTTGGAGCACTTTGGAATAGTCACAATAAAAGGATGAGACATAATTGAATGACAAGTAACACGATAATAAATTTTAGTAGATGGCACAAGAAATGCAAGCTCTTCAGAGCAGCACCCTTTATAGTATTTATAGAAAAGGAAAAGAAAAGCAAAATTACGACAACATGGCAATAGTTGAAAGTTGACTGCAAGAGCAGGTCCAACTATTTTTTTACCATTCGTTTTTGCAACTTGTCTAAATACAAAAGGACATCATTCAAAGATCCACTCTAGATATGACAACAATATATCATACAAGGACAAATTTGAGATTTATAGAGATAAAGAATAGGAAATATAAGTGGCGAGCAAGATAAAGAGATGCAACCTTAGCAGATGCTAATTTTGCAATGGGTTTTATTTATGATTTCCAAGAATGATAGGAATTAAAATTTAATCCTAAAAGATGAAGGGTAGATGACTCATCGAGTACATTACCTTTCATAAATATAGGAAGGTCTAAATTATTGCGATAATGATTGGCTAAATAAAATTGAGTTTTATCTGAATTAAAATTCACCAGCCATTGAGAGCCTCATACTGTCGCAGAAGTGAGATCCTTCTCAAGCTCAAATGCCCCTATCAAACAACAAAAGAATGTTGGCTTTTTATCAAGACAAGAATAATGGTAGGATCAACAGCAAACAATACCACCTTAGATGTGAGAATTTTTGGGAGTTTGTTAATGTAAATTGAAAAAAGTATAGGGCCAAGGATAGAACCTTGAGGAATCTCTGAGAATAGTGCTGTCCATCGAGAACAACTCTTATACGACAATTGGTAAGAAAAGATCCAATAACCCTAAAGTTTTTACCTGATACACCGTAAGAAGAAAGTTTATGGAGAAGACTAGCATGTCAAACTTTATCAAAAGCTTTAGAAATGTCGCGAGCGATAACCCTACCTCTCCATATCTATTTAATGCACAATAAAACCTATCAGTTATTTTTATTAGTTAGAACGAGAAGATTGAAATCCATATTGATAATCAGAAAGTAAATTAATAGATTCAAGATGAAAGATTAAGTGTTTGGTAATTAAAGAATAGAAAACCTTTTGATAGTAAGAAGATTTTTCGGACCAGGCCTGGTGCTAGACATTTCAAAGGTGGGTGAAAAAAAGTTTTTCACCTACCTTTGAAAAAAATTTCAGCGCCTTAACAAAATAAACTTTAAATTTTGTAATGCATTTTAATACGATTTTTTTGAAAGAAGATTATAAATAACTTATCTTGAAAATAGTACTTTTTGAAAACAATACTTTTAAACAATCTCAACTATTGATTAGCGGGAAAATGCACATGCATGATCAGGGCAGCCGAGAACTTTCATGACACCCGGAACGTGAATTTTAGAAATATGTATGCATATTTTTAAAATTAAAGCATATAAAATTACACAAGTTAGTGACTGTCTTTTTATATCAAATACTATTAACTTACATCAATATTTTTAGGAAAATCTAATTAGGATTAAATAAAACAGATTCTTTGAAATTGATATTGAAAACTCTTATTTTTTGCTTTTTACTAGCAAAAATTGTTATTATTATTATGTCATCTTACAAAATAGTTGTATCCAATTCATTTTAACATGTATGTCTGATTGACGTCCTTCAATCTTTTGTTTTGTAATAGTCCTAAAATCATTTTTTTAAATTTATCAATTTTAGTTTACTTAAAAGTCATTCATCTTCTGCGACAGGTACTGGCATCGTGTTAAAAAAATTTGAATTAATATGCATATAAATTTGAAAATAGGCTATAGACCATTTGAGTATTTTTTATTGAGAAAGCTCTAAGTGTTTCCAGAAGTTAAAGATGAGGATTACTTCAAACTATTAAGATGCGAAGTATCTTCCACAAAGTTGTCTTCTATTTCAAACTTTAATTTTTACTGGTTCTTTATCTTTAACCAAATAAATGCGAATCTTAACAATACAGTTTTTTTAAATCCCAATTTTAAATTGAATATGTTGAATATAATAACAAAGTTCAACGTAAAAGATATTCACTTCAAGCTTATGTTCAGAGAACTCATGAAAAATTGTATATCCAGGTTCATTGCTATTTTTCTATCATCACTCACTTTGCAAATAATTTTGTTTCAATGCCAAGACAAGCCATCTGCACATCACGGGTTGATGTTTTGGTTGAAGGTAAATTTTTCAGATCTTCCATCGGAACTGCAGCTGAAATCTAAAAAATCTTAGATTTTTATTTATTTATTACAACATTCAATAAAACTTAAAAAGTTTAATATTGATGAAGGACACCAGGTTCTCATATACAGACGGTTGTCATAGGTGCAGTCAAAATAGCATTATAAAAATATTTCTTAAAGAGTTTACTGTACGTACATCAATTACATTATGTGCTAATTTATTCCTAATGTTTGCAACGCGGTTTTTAAAAAAGCTTTGTCGTTCTGGGTAACTTTTGATTAGTTAGGATTTTAAACAGGTTCTCAGCCAACATTGACAGACGTATGGTTTTTGTCTGGGCTTAAGGGAACGGGATTTTGACGGATAAGTGTTTTGGTTTCCAGAAGATTCCCATATGGTAATAAAATCAAGCATATTTGCTCGTTTGGGTTTTATCTAATTTTATCAGGGCTGAAGAATCTGGGGATTTGACGGGTTTCCCATAAAGTTCCCAATAGGTTCAAACTAATAATTAAAAAAATCATAACAAAACTTACTCGATCGTTGCCATTTATAATTCGTATTGTGCGTAAAATAAATTTAAAAATTTAACTTTTATGCATTATATTCTTTGTTTGCATTATATTTACATTGTAATTAAAGAGATTTTTTTTTTTTATGTATTTTGTCACTCTGAAACTCCATTAAAAAGACGTTGTTTTAAAATTTCATTTATTACCAATTATTTATTACCATTTATTTATTACCATTATTAAATTTATTTATTACCATTATTAAAGAATTTTTTAATTTTTATTTTTAAATAAATTTACAAAGTTTAATATATTTGTTAAACATATGTTCCAGGAACTATTAAACATGTAGTAAATATTCCATTGAGACACTGCTTGCATTTTTAAAATGATCAAAATATAAAGTTTTGTTTTTGCTAGTGATTGTAATAATTGGTTTGAATTAAATCAAAATATTGGTTTAGTCAGAAAGATTTAAAAAGAGCAAACAGGCGAATGTTATGATGGATAGGTTATATTTAGGGAATTAAAAGCTTTTAAATCGTTTTTAAAAGCAAAATGACTGATGTTAAAGAAGTTTACCCACTGTCAGATATAAATAAAGATATAATTAGGTGTTTAAATGCAAAAGAAAGCTTTATTATTATGCATCAACCTCATTTTTTAATCATTGATATTTTTTGACTTTGATTTAAAATTGTACACTTGTAATTAGGAGTGAGGAGTTGTAAAAAAAAAAGTAACGGTTCCGACTCCGACTCCAGTTGTTGAATTTTTTTGAGTACAACTCCGACTCCGACTCCAGTTGTTGAAATTTTTTTTGACAAATTTATGAAACATTTTTTGAGGTTTAGTATGAACATAAGGTTAATTGAATGTTTGTACATGCACGAGAAGTTTTAATATTAGAGACGGAATCGCGATTTTGTTTAGCGACTCCGACTCCGACTCCGCTAAAAATGTCGCAACTCCGCATCTCCGACTCCGACTCCACAGCCCTGCTTGCAATATTAACAATAGTTTCATAATATACATAATAATAACTTAAACTTACAATACCTATACTTTTAAATACTTGTAGTTTAATACTTATGTTTATAATACTGATAAAATTTTTATTGATATGAACTTTTGCATTTAAACTTTAGTTATAAAACTTTAATTTAACTTGATAACTTTAACATAAATAACAATAACTAAAAAAAGATAATAGTTGTTATATAGATTATAACCATATGCTTATTTAATACAATTGAGTTTTTTTTTTTTTTTTTTTTGTTCTTTAATTTTACAACTTTGTGATTTAATAAATATTCGTTAGCAATGTATATATATATATATATATATATATATATATATATATATATATATATATATATATATATATATATATATATATATATATATATATATATATATATATATATATATATATATATTTTTATGTTGATTTTAGGTGTCCCAAGAAGTCCTTACGGTCTTATCACAGAGCACCGTTTCTGAGGCAAGTGTGCTAC